AGAATAGAAGTATTTTTAAAATGAAATGTCACTTTTTGTCCAAGACAAATAAAACTATTTTTCAGATGTTTAACACAATTCATTTAACATCACATAATTACAAGAATCATTTTTAAAAATTTTAAAGAGTTAAAATAACTATTCTGGCAGATATTTTAAATTCAATATTTAATTCATCTCAAATATTTTGATATCAAGCTTTACAATAAAGCTTACAAATAAAAAAAATATGCCTATTTGAAAGCAATACTTCAGACACAATAATATAAATATATAATAATAATAATAATAACAATAACACAGCTGATTTTAAATTTTAGATTTGTGATTAGATTTAATTTGTTACTAACAACAAACCTCCACTGAGCGGTGGTATAACTGCAATTTTGTCTTTTTCTGATAATACAAGAATATTATTTGGAATGATTTGAAATTCTTCGTTTACTGCTAACACTATTTGATCACGTATACTTTGTAAATTAAAAGTATGTATAATCTTGTCTAAAAGATCAGCAGATGATAATTTTTTTGGTACATGAAATTTACATTCCTTACATCCAGCTAATTCGCGTGCTTTTGCGAAAAATAAGATTGTTATTTCTATTTGCGTTGTGGTTTCATCCATAACAAAGCACCTGATAAGAACATATTTTCTGAAATGATTGAAAAATATATTACAATACAATTATTATATCATGTACACTTGTTAGATTATATTTATAACCAAATTGACTCAACACATTAATTTAGGAGAATACAATCACAATTCAAAATCTAAGCATTAAAGCATTTCTGTTCACTTACCATCATTATTATCATCTCAAATTGTGACATTAGAAGCAAGAAAATATATAATAAAAATTCTTAATTAACTAAATATATTAAAAAAGAAAGGAAATATTCAATATTTCAATAAATATTTCAATAAAACAACACAATGGAGGAAATATCAGGAATAAATATTAAATTTAGAAATAAAAATTTGACACAATAATTAAACACAAAATAATGCACAATAGACACAAATAAGTACAAGATATAGATATATCATTAAATTTATTTGTGTCCATTGTATATTACATTTTATCTTTATTCTGAATTTTCATTTTCAAAATTTAATATTTATTCATATGCCTAATATTTTTCCATTGCGCACAAGACCTTATAGTTTTAAAGAGAGAAAAAAATTTTTGCAGAAGATATTGCACATCTTTCCACACGATTTTCTCCCAAACTATTTGTTATTTGCGAAAAATGTTCCAAATAAAACTATTTTGAAGGAGTTACATAATATATGTGAGCTACATAATGATATATTAATTCATATAGATGAATTATAGATGAAGTCATTATTGATATTTTTTTAATAGAATTACGTATTTTTTGTACACATAAAAATAAACAAATACGCACGCGTACGTGTGTGAATTCTCTTTGTAAATATTTAACAGTTGTTTTTTATTGTGATATAAAAAATATAGCAATTTGTTTTTTTTGTTTCGATGCGAACTTACACTATAATAAGTATTTTAACTGCTTATAATAAATTCTTATATGTATTTTAATAATTTATTCTCACGATTCTTATATAACCAATTTCTTCGTTTTTAAAAGGTCATCACCATTGAACATTATACCATAGATGTAAAAAGATCGTAGTCCCACATAGGAGAGTCCCGTTTGACCACATCCCGATTGATCACAACCACTCACAGGGGCCGGTGCCTAGAACTTTTCCATTATTCAAGCGCTGTAAGTGGCTAGTGGTCAATCGAGATGTGGTTAAACGGGTGCCACCCGTTCACATTCCTTGCTTAGGGTTTTTCCACAATGAACGCGACGAGCGATGAGTGATATCCAATGAGAGCTTTGCTTCTTCAAACGTCTATCCGTGACATTTGGAAAAGCAAAGCTCTCATTGGATATCGCTCATCGCTTGTCGCTCGTCACGTTCAGTGTGGGAGAGCCCTTATTTATAGCTTATAAGTCTCGATTTACATAGATATTTAATTTTTAAGCCGTAAGAAATTAACCAATCATCAGTTATTTATTCTTTTCATATTCGATTGATCAATTTCTTACTTCTTAAAGCTTGAATCATCTATTGTGGACCGACACTTATTCAATGATCTGCGTCTTTGCGCCATTTTGCAATTTTGTCTTCATCATTGCTGACTCTGTCTCATCTATTTGCTATTTTTGATTTATTTATTTTAATACTGAATTTGCTGCCTGGTTTGTGTCGATCCTCTGCTAAACCAAGACCAAAAAGAAAAGGAAAAGAGTAAGTAACGAGTATTTCATTTAATGTCAACGAAAAGAGAAAGAAGAAAGTTTTTCAACACAAAATTAAAAATATATTAAAAAATAAAATCTACAAATATAATAGGGATATATGACAATGTCAATGTAAGGAATGTAGAAAAAAATAGAAAATATTAAAAGAATTTAAAAAGAGAAAACTGTTTTATATATGATCTAATAGGTTTGCACATTTTATTTATTAATAGATTGAAAAATTGAAAAATGCAGCGTCTTGGACTTCAGATGATTCGTAGTAATAAAACCTTCTTGGGCAATAGAATGTATACTACTGCACCTGTACAGGAGCAAATAGTATCTGCTACCTTTAAGATTCAAGATCATAAAGATTTCCATGAACGTGTAATGAACTCCAAAGTACCTGTTATCGTGGATTTCTTTGCCACGTAAGCATTACATAGAATAATAATTGGATATTTAACTATTCATAATGTTTAGTAATCTTTAGAGACAATTATTTTTTTTATTTATAATTATATGAATATAATGATTAGAAGATACTCAAACTTGGGATATATTATGCATTAAGTCATAAATTGTATAGAAAAAATTAATATTGCATAGTCTAGAATAGAATTTGATGAGAATCAAATTATAATATTTATGTTATTATTTATGTTTACATTTGCTATTATGTCAGATGGTGTAACCCATGTCGCATGCTGACTCCAAGAATAGAAACCGTTATTGCTGAAAAGCAAGGAAAGATTCTGTTGGCCAAAGTTGATATTGATGAGAACACAGATCTTGCTATTGATTATCACGTAAGTATTTGTCTTTTTTATAATTTTATTATAACAATTAATTGTTGACTTTTAAAAGTTGTAAGTTGAATTTATTTATATTTAATTTAAAGTCAATTTTGTATCCTTTGTAATTGATTTAATCATTTCCTAAATAAATATATAAAAAATTATAATAATTATTCAAAATTGTCATCTGCAATTAAGTTTGGACTTTGTCTAAACTATATCTGATCATATTAATTTTCAGGTTGGATCTGTGCCTGTACTCATTGCTGTGAAAGATGGAAAAGTTTTAGAAAGAATAGTTGGTCTTCAAGATACCGATAAGCTAAGACAATTTGTTAATAAATATGCATAGTGTAGCTGAAAATTATTTAAAATATCTATAATAATTTTGTATTTTGTTAATTCTTGTATAGAGTTTTTATATACTTTTAAAATCAAGAATTGTAGTAAATGTTTCTTTATTGATATAATGTGGTTGATATATATTACTGTATTGCAGAAAATATAAAACTTTTATACAAACTGTTGGCTTTTTACATATCGTTATATAGATGTGATGTAGGAAATCTAAACAATTTTATCAATATTTCCTTTAACATATTATTAAAACTATTTATCGGTTGGTAAAGTCTGCAAAAGTTGTCTTGCTCTCTTATAAGCAATTGACTTCATAATTTTGCATTTATGTTCTTCATCTTCTTCTTTCTCAGCTTTCTTTATCATTTCTACTGCCTTTTGTAATAGTATTTCTAGTGCCTTGCCTCTGCAATCTTTGAAGTATTCCAGAACAATAGGAAAAAATGTTTCAGAAATGGAATTCTCATCTAACAAATTATTTATTAGCCAAATCTGTTTGAGTTTTTCGAATTTCCATTCGTTTTTAGAATGTTTCCACTGTAAAAATTCGACATATATTAAAAATATATAAAATGTTTTATGAATAAATCATTAAAATATTTAAAAATATTTATACAAAATAGAAAAAAATATATTTATATCCACTTAGACTAATGTTTAGAAATTTTTCACTTTTCAAAAGATTTAATATTTAACTGACAAATCAACAACATGGATAATTGAGTGCATAAAACGTGTTTATATATTGTATGTACATATAACAGTATATACATAATAGCTCATGAAATCAACCTTATAGGAAAAAAAAAGTAACAACTTTAAAAATTTGATTTTTTTTTTTTAATTTTTGTGATAACGTAAAAATAATGATTTTTTTCCAAATTTACTAAAGCTTATAATTTTTATTATAAATCTTGCTTATAATAAAAATTAAATAATTCATAAATGAATGTATAAAAATTTATAGTTTTTAAAAACATGTCAATTTCGTCATGTTACTTTCATATGTGAGTAAAATGATTCTTAAGAAAAAGAAAAAAAAACAAAAGGTTAAATTAAAAATAAACTTTTTTAGATAAGAAGAATAAAAGTAAGATAAAGTAGTAAGTAAAAAAATTGCATTTCAATAAATTGTATTGCAATAAACTTCTTACATTATATCAATATCTTTATAAAAAAAAAGAAAAATTTATTTGATTAGAAAAAATAAAATTACTAAAACTTCAAATAAAAATAATTAATGTGTTATATGATATTTGTTATCTTATCCAGCAATTATCATTATTTCATGAGTCTTATAATGCAAAAAATGAAAAATATGAATATATTGGATACATTTAAAATTATAATAAATCACAAGTAATTTGTAATTTGTAAAAAAAATGAAAGAACTTATTATAAATTACTCATTACACGTTTTCTTATAAATAGATGACAAAAAATCACTCACATATACTAAAAACAGATTTTTTTTTTATTCTATTATCTATTCTCATAGACAGATTAGAATCACTACAAGATTAGAATCACTACAGACTAGAATCACTATAAGAAATTATATATCATTATTAAAAATCTAATGATAATATCAAACTCATATATCTTCCTCTTTCTCTCTATATACATATATATTATGAATAATAAATAATTCTAACAATAACATACTCTGTGTACATAACTCAATGCCTTCTGCATGATATTTATTCTGCTAGACTCTTTCTTCTGAATTGCTACTTGGAGAGCCTTCTGTTTCTTTAATTGTCTTTTAGATAACTTCTTTGGAATCTTTACATTCTCATTTGAATCATCCCTTGATAGACTTTTATCAATAGTAATATCATTGCTATATTGTTTAATTATTTAATTAGACACTTGAATAAAACTTTGATAAAATATATTTATATCTTTACATATCATTTATATTAATATTTCTTTCATTAATAAATCTTTTAATCTCTAATTGAAATTTTAAAAATAATATTATAAATTATAAAAATTTATAATTTAATAAAAATGTTTTAATTTACAAAGATCAACAGAATAGATAGTATTATTCAGTAGACAAGCTCTTAAGCATTTTTTTTTATTTTAAACTGCTATAAGTCCATTAAAGAATGACGTATAGATGGTGATATAAATTTGAATTTATCTATATAAATTATCTTGAATTTATAGTATACAAAAAAATAATCGTTAGACACTTAAAATGCTGTGCATTAAGTAATACTATCCATTATATTGTTATATGATGAACATAACATCTTAATATGATACATTGATTTGTTTATAATTTAATTTATATCAAATTAAATTATATAAAATTGGAAAATGTCTTACCAGCCTTCCTTCAATTGTGTTAGCGAATCTACAGTTTCTTGGATTCTAAATTTTCTTTTCCTCTTTTGTTTTTGTTTGCAAATTAGAGTATTTTCTTGAAACATCTCATCAGTTTTATGATTATTATTCATATTAGAATCTGTGAAAACATTTATTCAATATTTATTAACTTAACTTTTTTAATCAAAAGATAGTCTATAATTAATTTTAACAAAAGATATTCTGAAACTAATTTTTATTTTATATTACTTCTCATTTCTATATTAAAATTTCCTACATTTGTATTTCAATAAGGTATCCAACAAATGGATAGATATCCCGGAAATGGATTGAAACTAGGGTTGCCATATTAAAATTTTCAAAACTAGGACTTACAAGCCAAAAATCCTGGACATTTCGATTACAACCCCGGACAAAAATGCATTTAAATTAATAAAATTTATTAGAACAGTAAATGAATCGTTATTTCACATCTAATTGTTTATTAGCATTCAGAGCAAAGAGAAATTTGAACTGAATACTAAATAAATACAGACTATTTTGATTTAAAATAAAAAGTTTTATAAGTTTAGTTTAAGTTTTATTAGGTATTAAAATTAAAAAATTTTAACTCTTTTATGTGATCTCTGTGCTATTTGGTAATGCAGAGTAATGCTAGAGGAATCAAAACAAAATATTTAGATTTCTTGAAACCTCGGACGCTTATAATTATCCCGGACGCTTTCAAAAAATCCCCCTGAACGGTTTTCAGACACCCTAAAAAAGAGGACAGTGTCCGGGGAAAAGAGGATGGATGGCAACCCTAATTGAAACAGATAAAACTGAAGAAGATAAGAAGATTATTCAGTTTAGAGGCCTCACCTCTGATTTTAATGAAATTAGGCTCATTCAATGCCTTTTTGCATGGGACGAAAGAATCTGGCAGAGAAAAGTGAGTTCGCTCTGCCGCGAACTAAGATATTAATCGTTAAAGTAAAAATAGTATTAATCGAGCAATTTCGAGGTTACGAAATCTGTCATACCGACGTATAACGCGACGTATGCGCTGAGCATGCGCGGTGGTCACGTTTGCATGCGCCGTGACCACATCGCATACCGCATACCGTATGCTCAGTTTGCAGTCAGAATGCGCACGAAATTTAAATGACATTGAAGTTATTTAAAACTAACAATGTGATAGCGTGTGTTTAATAAAATCTTTGTATATTTTTACTTTAATGCAATTCTACTATATATATTTCAATACTTAGTTTTTGTCTGATTATAAAATTTAGTAGGATTAATACTTGGTTAGATAACAGCATTTTCATCAATATCAATGATTCAATACAATACTGACTAAAAATTATTGAAATATTGTTAATTACTTTAAATTTCTTTGTAATTCAATTTCTTTGTAATAATAATAATAATAATAATAATGATAATAATAATAATTTATAATATATTTACAATATTTCAATTTCTATAAGGGAAGTAGTATTTGTTCTATTATAATTGTAGACAAATCTTTTCTCGCATCACTGATTTGAAGAAATTGTAAAATTGAATTGTAAAATTATGAATAACGAAATACGTTTGCTATCGAAAAAAGTTTGCTATCGGCAATCGACTATCGACTGATTTATCGTTGATTTATGTTAATTGAATTTGATGCATCCTAAATGTTTGTCACATCAAATTCGGCAAAAGTGTATGTAATTATGAATCTTGAATCTTTTATATAAACTTTTAAATATTAAACGCATAAACATTTTTATTACATTGTGAATTTATTACAGCTACAATTTATGTATTTTTTTAAAAAATATAATAATGAATTAAACATTCCATAAACTATACTATAGAATTGCTTTTAAAAGAAGTGGTCACATAAATTCTCTTTTCACATATGATTGAATATTGATTTCAGTGTCATTATTAGTTATACTGTTACGACCGAGGTATAACAGACCCATAGTAGTTGGGATAGTCCGGTTGTTGTAGCGGAACGGCACGGATATGATGGAAGGGGTGACATTGTCAGGTAGTAGGGGACAGTACCGGCTAACAAACTTTTAGTTACCTACATTTAAATAAAATATTTTGTTTTTTAAATTATTGCGTGTGATTTTGTTTTATAATCAATATTGTAAATGTTTTGTTTACCAAAGAATTGTTATTTATTATATAGTCATTTTGAAAAAAACTAACTAATAGAAATTTTTATGAATTATTATTTAAATTATCTAATTTTCAATTTTTAGCACCTTTGCATAATAATAATTTGTATTAAAATAAGAAATTTCTCTTTTCTTAAAATATAATTAAGATAAATCTGATGTAAACATCTAAGTATATAGTGGTATAATATATTAACTAAATTCTACAAATTATATAAAAAAATGTGTGTGTG